GCCCCCGCTGGGCTGGGCGCAGCTCCATTGCTGCTCCTCCTGACCCTGCTGGGCCTGCCACAGCCGCAGCTGCGGTCACCACCTCTCAGTAGCCCTGCCATGGAGGCAGGAGAGGTTCCTGCCACAGCAGCTGGGCTCGCCAGCCATGAGCCCAGCTCCTGGCTGAGCGGGTGCTCCCGCTGTGGGAACGTACTGACCACCAGGGGGCAGAGCTCCTGTGTGGACTGTCTGCCTCCTGGTGATCAGTGAGCGTCATAGCGACGGGTCGAACGGTTGCATATATATATATATATATATATATATATATATATATATATATATATATATATATATATATTCATGCACCAGTAGCTCTCTGCCACCCTCCTGTAGCTCTCCACCTGCTGCCCTGCCCTCCTGTAGTTCTCCCCGCTGCCCTCCCCCTAATAGCTTGCCGTCCTGCCCCCTCCTATAGGTTTTTGCCCCCTGCTTGTAGTTGGCTGCCCCACCCTCCCGCAGATCCCTGATCTAGTCCTTAAGCAGTTCGTCGTTAAGCCCCAAGGTGTAACAGATAATTAGCATGTTCCTCTCTTATCCTACGGGATAGATTACCTACCATTCCTCAAGTGCACTAATCCTAAAAATAAAAGCTTAACTGAACTTGCCTTCCTCACACTTTACCACTGCATCTCTGTGCATTTCCTGGACTTTGGCCTCTACAATTCTCTTGAAGTTGTCCTGTGAATGTTATCTGTGAAATCCTAGAAAAATCCCTTAATCTTTTCTGAATCTTCATCGTATTACATTTATCTGTGGTATTAGATAGACATTGATTTTTGACCTTTATTTCTTGACACTCTTCTCTTGGTTTCTCAACACTAGTTTTCTGGCTATAAAAAAATGATATCTATTTAACACTTAGCTATGTGCCATGTACTCTATTAAACGTTGTCTACTTTATCCCATTTACTTCTCACAAAAACTCTTGGAGGTGGGTGCTAGGATTCCCACCGACAGAGACACTGAGCTATGAGTGCTTGCCCATAGCCATATAGTAAGGAGCCGGACTGGGTTTCAAGCTCAGGGCTTCCTTAAGTTGAAATTCAGGGTCTTAATGTTTGTACACATGGCTTGGTCTCTTGCTTCTTTATTCATTTCATCTACTAGATTCCCTTTTTCTGTATTCTTAGATGCAGGGGTTTCCCAAGATTTAATCCTTTACCTTCCTTATATTCCAACACATTCTCCAGATAACATTACTTGTTCTTACGGTGCAAACTCTAGCGTTAGCTTTAATTTTTCTTTGGGTTCCACAACACATTTCCAGCGGCCTTCTGGGCTCTTCACCCGGCTGCTTAAATGTCCTGCAGACTCTTCAGAAAAACACATGCTAACTGCGAGGCTTGACCAGGTCATCTGCCTATTCGGACATCCGGTGCTGCATTTGTGACATGAGAGGGCTAGAGCAGCAGTTTTCAAGTTTTCTAACAAAATGTTAAGTTAAACCAATAGATAACATATAAACGCAGTAAAATCAGAATGACTCTGGGGCTGGAGAAAATGAGAGAACTAGACCCTTTCCCTTCCACTTCATCCCTACCTACATACAACAGGCTACCTTCAGGTGCCTCTTCAGAAGCTGGGACTCCAAGATCTCAAAAGGCCCTTCTACTTCCACTATAATTCTTTAATCCCCCCTTTGGAGCTTAATATAATACATCAGCTATTCCTCATCTTGTAATTTAAATATCTATTAATGCCATGTACCCAAAATATTCTGGCATCTAGGATAAATAAAATTCTCACTGCAGGATATCACTAACGCGTTAAAGCAATAGTATCTAGTACAGCATACTTATTCTAATAGTAAATTAAATCATGTAAACACATAAGCTCTTAAAATAATTTCTAACACAAAAGCGACATAGTTTTTTCCAGGAAAATTATGTTCCTAGTGGTTGCAGTTAACACAATTTACCATAGAGACAATGACACAGAAAGTAAAAGGGGATAGAGAGGTGGATGAAAGGTGCCCTTTGCAATTCATCATTTCAGCTAATACCCCTGCACTCAGGTCTCTGAATTTTTTATAAAGAACTTATTTTCTTTTCAAAACAAAATAGGATTTTGACTTAGGACAAAAGAGGAGAAGAGCACTAAAGGTCAAATCAAATTTTGATATATGATTTTTTATGTTACCCATAAGAAAAGAGTATGAATACTATATCTCCTTCTTATACCACTTAAGTTTAACCAGATGCTATAAATGAATGTCAAATAGCATCATTTCTCCCCAATATGCTGATGTAAAAGCCTCTATCTTCCTGCATAACTTTCCCCCACGTCCTCAAGTCCTTCATTCTTTGTACTGGCTCTTTCAGACACACACATGTGTTCAGTCCCTGCATCTCTGTTCTTGTTCTCACCTGGCTAAACATGCTTGTTTTCCAAGGCCCAAGTCATGTCCTACATTCTCTACATAGCTTTTTAAAAAACACATGAATTGACTGATTTCCCTTTTTTTTCCTGCTTAATTGATAAGCACATAAAATGGAAATTATTTGAAAGACAAAAGATCCTTTAAACATGCTGAGGGGTAAGGCACATCTTCTAGGCTCTACGATGCAACTGGAGGCACTGTGTCATTCAGCGGACACAACAACAGTGTAAAATCGGCACTACTGTTATGATTATTGAAATGAGGAGATCAAATTCCAAAGAGGTTAATCTGCCCAAAGATACATGGTGAGCAAGTGTAAAAACCTAAATTCAAACCCAATGCCACTAGGTTTCAAACACCACGACAAAGTATTCAATAAAACACTGTCCTAGTCCAATGCTTCAACTCTCACAGACAAGAAAGATTAACACACCGTGCAAAATACCTAAATTTATTTACTATTTCAAAGGAAATTCTCTTTTAGACTTTTTAATCAACCTTGTGATCGCCCTGATAAAATGCTGTTGGTGAATATTCACTGTAAGAATTCTAGAGTACTCTTACCAATTAAATAATACATAAAAATTACAATGTTTTTACGTTAGTCTATTATTGGAAATATTTTAGAATATTGGGACAAACAGAAATGGAGAACCCATTATTTAAAATTATGATAGAGTACATGGGTAATACTGTAGTTTTGATTCCTTGTGTTAAGAAATAATAGTTGCACAAATAACTCAAAAATAATATATTATAAATGTTTTATAGTCCTATTTAAATGGCATTCTATTTTACTTATTTCAAAATGGATTTAAAACAGCTCATAATTAACAGTAATTAGGATCTAGTAATAATATATGGCACTCTAAGAGAGCAATTAAACCACATAGATCAATTTCTCCAAAGCTTTGAATTACTTGAAAATTTTTGCTAAACTAGAAGACTCTTAAAGTTATAAAGTGAATGTGAAAAACAATATTTCAATTATGACTATATCAGGTAATAACCAAGGCTAAGTCAAATTTTTTTGTCATTAATATTAGGGCCATTTGCCTTAAAATATTACTAAAATATTAGATGTTTGCATGATAGTGACACCTTTTGTGTGTGAGTCTAATTCTAGAGGCTGATTTTATTCCCTCCTTCTTTGCAAGACTTAGACCATATTATCTTCAGAGAAAATATCGAGTCCATTTTTAATTATAAAAAAACTTAACATAAACTTGAATGATTTCAAGTCATTTCAGACTTTTCTGTCCCTTCATTTCCTTACACTTTCAATAAACAATGAATTTGTTAATCACTATACAGGCAGTTTCCAGAAATAACCAAACGCAAAATTTTACTACGTGACAAAAGTAATCATTCACACACCTTCATGGGACTCCTTCCAACTCCTAATCATGATAGTTTGTCTTTTATTCATTCTTATTGCACTTATAAGTATACATTTTTATAGGTAGCATACCTATAGTTACACCTAAAGACCTAAAAAACTATGAAAAAGTCAAACAAATAAAAGTAATATATTACACTAACTTTCATTCAACAATGATAGAGACATTAATTTAATAACTTCCTAATGTCTCCTTAGTTCTCAGACTCAAAAGCCAATACTTGCTGTGCTCTATTAAAGAAAACATGCTAAAAAAAACAATGAAATAACAAGCATGAATTGAACATATAACCCTGTATGTAGACATAACAAATTTATGGATATTGGCAGATACAGCTCATATTAGTTTATTTAAATCCCCCAAGTATTTCTACCAAAATTAGTTTAGGATGCATTCAAAAGGACTTCTGAGTTCCTTTATTATTTTATCACAACATTCTTTGAATGGTAAATTATGTTTTCTTTTCTTATTTCAAACCCATTTTATAGTTTGGGGAAAATATAGGATTTTTTATTTTATAAACAACAAACCATGAATTAGAATTAATCAATTTGTATAATTAAAAAATTAGTAATAATTAATGTATTAATTAATTCCAAGTATGAGACATTTAATAGAGCAAATTCAGAGAATTCTTCTAAATACAGCAATCAACAGCATGATTCTTTACGATGCTTAAAAAGTTTACTTAAGCCATGAGGATGAACCTCTTCATGAATCAGTTTTTGTGTTTCCTAAACAAACCAGGCTTATCTCAATACTTTTATATATAAAAGTCACATTGATTTTCCTATGAATGTAACAGACTAAAATCTATTGCCACATGGAAATATTTTTATAGATATTAATTATAAAGTAAAAATAACAAAACACCTCATTTTCATTATGACTATCATTATAACCTCATCTGCAAATTTACTAACTTACTAATTTGATTTAACAAAGGCCCAGAATTTGCAAGAACAAGATGATTATTTTTTCTTACTAAAGAAACTATTTTGTTTTGTTTTGTTTTAGGTTTTGTTTTTTTTTTTAATGATGTGGGGGTCATAAGAAAGAATGTAGGCATTTGAAGAAAACATAGGGTTTAAGAGATTTCAGAACAGGAACATTTAATAGTAACCCCTCTTTCTTGAAGGCAGCGATTATAAGAAAACAGAAGAGTATCTAATCACATTCACCTGTCTCTGTCTGGAGAATAATGGTCATCCATGACACGATGTCTATCCATTCGGCTAATTGTGTTATAATGGCCAGTGGTAGAGCGTGTCCCTCGAAGTCCCTGTTCCACATTCCGACTGAAATAGCAAGACCCATTAAATATACTCAAATCATAACCACAGGCTATACTAACAAACAAGGTTTATTGATGAAGACAGTAGAAAAAGACAAAAATCACTACCCTGTCAAGTTCAAGTTTTTTTGTTTTGTTTTAACTAAGCAGTTGTCCCTCTGGCTAATGTATACATAAATGCCAACCGGAGGTTGACAGTGAAGTTAGGAGATTAGTTCTAGAACAGAGATATAACATAAAACTAAGGCACTATTGATAAGGATAGTGATAGGATTATCAAAGCTATGAATATACGGCTCTGAGATCTCTAGTAGTGATATTCAACGATACAAAAACTGATTAGTGTGGAGAAAACGAGTTCAGCATATTGCTTATAGACAATATATTGCCATATCCCATTTTTAGAGATAATAATTGCTTTAAAAAAAATCTAAACTGAAGTATTTCTAATTGATCATGATGACTTTTTTAAGCTACTATTCTTTGTCTAGATCATCTATCTCCTTTTCATGATAGAGTAAGTCTGTTATATAAGCTTCTAGTCCTATCACTAGTCCTATTGAGAGGTCTACCACATTTAAGAAATTATTTTTCAGAAAATAATTTTAGTTTCACTGTCAAACTGTTTAGTTAACTCAACATGTTCAAATATTTTAAACTATGTTTATGAAGTCAATATATTACATTTCCTTTTTAATTTCTTCAATGTCTAAACTTAAGTAAACATTTTAAGTACTTAACATCCTTATAAATTAAGTAAGTTTTTAAATACAAACCTCAAGTTCTCTTAGATGGTTCATACCATACATCAAATTAAGATGATGATTAAAAATTCCAAGTCTAAAATTAATTCAATTATTCATTTATAATAGGAATCATAATGTTTAAATGTCAAAATTCAACGTTTTCAAATTTATTAAATATTCAAGTATATAAATTGTGAATTATGCACATATTTATTAATGGCAAGCATATTAGTTCCATGGCTCTAACTCTATTAAGTCTTTCAGTACTTACCTGCATTGACCAGAGTTTTCCATGAGGCATAGACCTGGAGCTACAGATTTACTGAGCCATCCTTCCCTTTAACGCTTTGCATGATGGTTCCTCATTTTAAAGCGCATCATATGTTTATTTTTCCCCCTGTTCCTTAAGTTATCAATATCTCTACCATTTATGAGTATAATAAGTTGGTCATAACTAGATCTGCTCAATATTGATAAGTGATTTCAAGCTGGATCCTGTTTATAATTTTGAACTCTTCCAATAAAATAATACATGGGTCTTCCAAAGTCATAGAGAAGACTATATTTTACTTTATTCTCATTATGTAGGTTACCCAATAGCATCTTTGTTTCTCCTGTAGATACTTTTCCCATAAGAATTTTTTATCTTTAGAGGTTATTCCTGGTGTTTTACCACAGGTAGGCTTGTACCACCATCCTAGGAATAAAGTGTGCATGCTATCTTACCTTTGTGGAGGAGGGACACTGGGTGACCATGACCTCGTCCTTCCTATAACATCTCCTCGGTGTGGAGACCCTGATGGTGAACAATGGTTGGATGACATTACTTGTTCTGGCACTGATAACGTTGAGCTTTGAAGGTCTCGGCCATTATGTCGATAATCTAAAGGTGGAAAGATTAAGACGACAGTTACCTACACACTAAGTCCTTCTGTATTTCCTACTTTACTGAAAAATGTAAAATGCGGGTGAAGCTGTAGCCTTTGAGTATGGTAACGGTATAGTATAATACTAGGACAATAAAATACTCTGTAAATACTTAAAAAAGGATGACAAATACTCAAATACTTTTCTCAACGGATTATTAAATTATTCGCTATATACTTTATACACAGGCGGGAAGAAAAATGTAGAAACAAGGATGGTTTTATTCTGATGTTGAAAATAATGAACCTAGGATAAATACTGTGAATGATCCAGGTTTTCTAAGCACTATTCAGTAATAGAATAGAATAATAAATATACACTATTAAAGTAAATAATAAATATTCCTGTAAAGTTCTTTTTCAAAAATACACCTCTTTAAACAAAATGGAAAAATAATAAAATGATCATATTTTTTGCCATTCTAAAAATAAAAGATGAAAGAATTGAGATGTGTCAAAAATGGCATCAAGATGAAGACGTTCAAAACCTGAAAGACATTTTTTAGGATAAAGAAAACTGGAAAAATCAATTATTAAAGGAATAGAATACATTTGGGGAGAAAACTGTTATGATTCCCAAGCAAGAGGCCATGGGAAATATTTTTCAAAACCATTTTATTGAGGTTTAATTCACAAACCATAAAACATGTAAAGTATCTTTTGCAGTTTTAGTAAAGTAATATATTGTTCACCCATAGTGCAAAAATAAAAACTAAAACATAGTAATGGGATTTTTTAAAAATAATAGGTACTTTTTTAAAAAGGACTTTTAAAATTACTTTTTAAAATAACTTTTAAAAAATAATAGCATGTTAACTGATGCGACTCTAACAAAAATTGCCAAACAAAAATTCTTGTCAATAATTGATGCAACTGTAGCATGTAGCATGCTTGTCCAAGGTAAAATTAGTCATATCCTTGAAATCTGTTAATTTACCTTCAAGAAGAAAAGAAACATTTTTATAATATTAGAGAGTAAACTGTGATATATTTTTCCCCCGGTATTTTTTTTTTAAAGGCTACTTACCTAAATTTAAAATCATCAGATAATTTATAACAATACATTAGCAAATATTTTAAACTATAATGCCATAATTCAAAAGTAGCTGCATCTGATACTTAACCAATACAACAATGAAAAAACATTTAAAATACTTGAATAAGTATTTGACATATTTGGTTATGTGGGTGATCTCAATAAGATTTTCTTCTCTTTCACTGTATTAACACAGTATGTAAAGAAGTTTTAATTATATAATAATTCCTCAAAATTACAGAAAAATCCTTATTATTTAGTAGTGTAAAACAGGAAATTAATAAGAATTCACTTATTTAAAATATTTCCATATGAATATTCAATCTAACAATTGGTTCAGGTGTTTCAGCAATAAGAACTAATCAGGAGTTTAAATTCCCATAAGGTACTTTTTGGGGAGATGAGAAGGCAAGTTATTTCTTTCTCATTTTATCAGTCTATCTATCTATCTATCTATTGGTGAATAATGATGAATTTACTCTTCCTGCTTATTATAAAATATTTCTGAAATTCTTACCTGACACCACACCAATTCCATCATCACAGTCATAGTCAGAGATTTCACTGTCACTTATTCTCTTTGATCCTATAAAGCAAACAGCAATAATTAAAATTGGTATTTACTAAGGAAAAAAATAGTAATCTCTCACCAACCTGAAAAATCAATGGAAGGACTTTTGAATGGAACTTGAGAATAAAAAAACAGAGAGAGAAGGAAAGTCATGGGGAGCAGGCCTAAGTCATCAGTAGGACATCCTCTGAGGGCTCCTGAATTGGAGAGGGTGCTAGTCAGGTTGAGGGAACTCACCCCCCCTCCCCGCCCCATTACGAATTTTGTGCACCGGACCTCTAGTGATAAATAAAAACAGTGTTGCTATTTCAAAAAAAAAAAAAAAATGACTTGTGTGGTCTACTTACATTTTGTTATTCATTAAATAGACTAAACTCCCTTATCAGAAAATAAATGCTTTCTTGTAGGTTTATAAAGCATTAAGATCTCACTTTGTCTCAGATGTCTAAAGTAGCAATATTTGAACATTCTAGGAATGCCCTCCAATATTTGAAATGCCTTACAAACATTTTTTTTCTTGATTTGCTTGTTTTTTAATCCCTGCCTTCTTAGGACACAACGTCTTTGTTGACAGTAACTGCATTCTTGTTTTTTTTCCTTCTAATGGTTAGGTAGCAGAAAATAATCTGAGATCATGTGGTCTCACTGAATAAATCCACTGTTTTCCTTGTAAATTCTTATGTCATTAAACTTTAGACCCAATCAAATCTGAGGCTGTTATAGCTCCAACTGATATGAAAACTAGAATCATCTGATGACATCCAACAGACTGGGCATTTAAGGGTTTACATAATTAGGACTTACATTCTAAACAGACTCAGAAGAGAGGAGGGATAACACAGGTGAAGTTATTGAGAGGTTTAAGGAGAACAGTGTAATGAAAATTAATATGCCAGGCACACTACAGAGCATAAAGATAACATGCTTCTAGTATTGGTCAAGAATCAGAACTGCCCCTGATATATAAGATAATAATGACACTAGTAAAAAATATCTAGAGGTCTGTATATGTATATGTAATTGCCATCTAAGAGAAAATAAATTCAATTGGGTAGAGAATGAAAATAAATATTGGTCCCAAATCTACGCAAATAGCTGAAATCCTAAAACACTTAATTATGAAATCACGTCTCTTTTATCTTACACCTAGCAACAGCATCATTTTGGTTTTGTCTCAATGATTTGTTTCCATTCACTCTTCTTTGAAGACTGGTGGTCATGGGCTGAATGAAAGTATAATAGGTATGATGTTTTCTATTTTAAAAAGTGAAAGGGTGATAATATAACATTTTACAAAGTAAAGAATTATTTGAGAATTTTAAGAGATGAATCTAGTTGATATGTGACAAAGAATGAAGTATCAAATTAAAGAAATCTCTAACAGAACTTTTATAGTTCAATTGTTATGTAAACAGTTAATATCAAACAATAAATTTAGAAATGATTTGTCATGTTAAAAAGGAAGACTTTTACCTTAAGATGTTACACAACTTTAACGGAAAACAATAAAGAATATAAAACAATAAAGACTTACACATCCAAATACACTTTTCGAAATAATGTTTCAGGAAAGTGATGAATAACATTACTCATCAATGAATCAAAAATAACTGTTTCATTCGGAGTCAGACTATATCTACTTATCTTAATGTATCAAACAATTAAAAGATTCAATAACAGCTATGAAAACCCTGAGATACATGTTAATACCCATAAATGTATCTTCAAATTCCACGTCATATATATCATTCAAGATAACTCAATGGAAGATATGATAAATTTTCCTGAAAACTTACTTTGCAACCTCCGTGTTGGGCTCTCTCCATGGAGCTGTCTTCGTGGCATGTAGGGAGAAGGATGGGGAAGTGGGAAGGAAGAGACATCATGGGTCTGAAGTTTGTACCAATGTGGCTCATCATCTAACAATGCTGTTTCTAATTCAATTAAAATCTACAAAGCCAAGAGACAAAAAACCGTTATATACCAATAATTCAGAAATTCTCTTAAAATATATTATAGTAATGCTATTAGATCAAAAGCAAAGCCATGTTGCAAAGTTATTCATACATTTTGACAATAAATAAAATAAATAGTTATAACTTCTTAATTATTTAAAAGTTTTAAATATCTAAGAAACTTAATAGACTAACCACCCACTGTTGTTGAATTTGCTATTATAGAAATAACAACTATTGTTAAAAGTCTATAATAATACTAATGTATTTTATAATTTACAAAGCATTTTCATTCATTAATTTAGCCTTTTCATAAACTCTAAATGGAGAGAGAAACCCAATTAGGAGGGTCTAATGTATATCAAAAACCATGTTATATGTTGTCTAAATTTTCTGGGGGAAAAAACAACCTATTGTTTTGGTCTTGTTATTCATCTTTTACAGAAAAGGATGTCAAGGCTAAAAAAAAGGTTTAAAAGAGCTTGTCTAAGCTTACATCAGCTGGTAAGTGAGAGAGGTATAACATGAATAAAATAAAACTCTGTTAAATATATGCTGCTAACGATTCAAAATAGGATCATTTGATTTTTTTAAATACTATAATATGCACCTTAAAATATAAATGTTTAATACATTTTAACAAGAAACCAATCCATAGAAATTAATAACTCTTTATTTTCTTTTAGGGTCAGGAGCGACGATGGCATCATTTATGCTTAGGAACATGAGAACTGCTATTGAGTGATGTCATTATTTACCTATGGGAGATAACAAAGCAAAACACCTAAGTTCTTTCATTCTTCCCAGATTTCCCCTAGTTATTTTCAGAGTCATAGGCCCTGTATTACAAATTTTGACACATACACACACCCTTATTTAATCCTCATACTAACTCCTAGTATTCCCACGTGGTTGAAGAGGAAATAGAACGAGAAACAGATTTAATAACGTGCTCAAGGACACGGGCTAGGAAGCAAATGTGCCACCAATGCAAGACCCAGACAGCTGTCCCAGATGCTGCTCCTCACAACCATGTTCCCCTTCATCCCAACTGGCTTGTTCCTCTGTGATTACCTCGCTACTGACATCCGGTGCAGTATTTCTGTAGATGGTTGGTTTTCCCATGAGGTCTCCATTTCATTTACTCAGGAAAACGAAGCACATTGAAAAGTGCTGAAAGCAGGTACCTTAGTGTGTCAATGGCTGAAGAACTGCCTCTTAGCTTGCCCCTCTCCAGCTAAGTAATTCTCCACACGGCACTAAAATATTCTTCTCAGATCCAATAGGATCAAGCCACTCTCTTCCTTAAATCTGTCATTGGTTCCCACTACCCACCAGATACAATCCAAACTTTTTAATGGGACGGAGTAAGGGACACAATCTGGTGCCAGTTTAACCTTCAAGTCTCATTTCTTACCACTTTCCCTCCCAGCTTCAGTGCAGTTGTCAAGACCCCCCCCCCCCCCCCCACACACACACAACTCTAGTGTCTTGTTAGTCCCCCTTCAGAAATTTCAGGCCCCTGGACCACGTGCCTCTCCTTTGCACAGCAAGTATGTACATGTTCCTATTGCATTACTCTGTAACAGCATTTGCCATACCGTATTATAACTGCCTATTCACTCATCTGTATCCCCAGTGGGTTATACATTCCTTCGGGAAGTAACATAATGCTGTATTCACCTTGGAAGCATCAGAGCCTAGCATATTACAGGTATATTACAAAGCTTAAACAAAATCCAGGACGAAATGACTGAACTAAGAGCAGTATGATTGGTTCAGTCAACTAAAATGATATGCGCACATTATAAAACAGCAATGTATATTTGTGAAACTCTATCGTTCAACAACGAGACTGAGAATACAGTAAGAATAAACATGTGAATATTGTCACGGAGTCCTTAGAGCCATTATTTTTTTGTGACATTAATAAATCTGTCTTAAAACAGTAGCTAAACCGATTCCATTAAATAAACCATGTTTACTTTTCAGATATTCAAAATACTTTTACTGATGGTCGTAATAAAAAAACAAAACAAAAACATAGTAGGGGATGAAAAGTTTAAGCTTTAAAATAACTCCAGATACCTCTCCTAAGAATTCACTTTCTTCCTCTCGAACTCGAGCTTGATCCCAAAGGGTAATCTCCAGCATTCGTTCCCGAAATTCTCTTCGGTGGACTGGAGAATAAATGAATGTTTGGTTCCATTTGGGTTCCAATGTTTTCTTCACAGTTTTCGTTCTTCTTTTGTTTTTATCACTAGGAGAAAATTAGAATATATGAACTTATATAAAACTTCATTTTAAATTTGCCACAAAATTATCAATGTAAAATTTCTCAGGAAAGAGGTCAAGTTTTGCCATAAATTTATCAAAAATTGCAATCTTTAAAATTACTATTAAAATTTGTAAGTTGTGTAGTTATATCACGTATGTGTATTGACTCAATAATAGCAACATTTCAATTAAGTTGGATATTTTCCCATCCGATAATGAAATACCTTTCTCAAAATCTAAATAAGACTACAGGATCTTATTCCTAATTGCCTAGTTGAAAGCCTTCCAAATGCTAATTAACCAAAGACACATAATGCTTTATAAGCTTTTTCTCCAATCCTAATTCCTCTATTTAAATCGGGGTAGAACAATATTGTTTATGTTGATGAGCAAAGACATACAATATGATGACCCACGAAGAAGCTGATTCTGGGCCAAAGGGTAAATTCCCTTAAGCACATGGGGTGGTGAAATAAAAAGTACACTCGCTAATTTTACAGAATTTAAAGAAATCATACCTTTGCTAGAGAAAATAGAAATTATAGAGGAATACGATGAGAAATATCTTTTAGAACCATTTCTAGCGTTTGCCTCTGCAGTGTGTTGAAAGGAGGCAAATTTTTCGTAAGTTTGATAAACAGAAACATATTATTTAAGAAATAAGCCACACACCCAGAAATAAATATGCAATAAAATAATATATATATATATATTATAGATATTTGATATACATTTTAAAAATAATCTGAAAGTATCTATTGTCATTTTTTTGAATCCTGAGAATTATTATGCTTATGTTAAACTTCGTAAGTATCTGAAAGGTATGATGCAGAATAAAAACACTCATTGATACCAACATTTCTCACTAACTTTCAAAAACATTTATTTTTCTTTCATATCCCTACCTTCTATCTGGAAGGAAGTAAATTTTCACGTAAGGATTCCTTGGCCTCCCATCTTCCCTGGAAGGGAGATCCTTGGCTCCCAAAATTGTAACTATTAGTTGGTGACCAACCTTGTCAAACCACAGTTTTATCTGAAAAGCAAAAATATTCATTTGTCAGCTCATTTACTACGTTAAAATCATTTTTATGTCCTCATCTTCATTCACCACATTCTCTTACATTAAATACTGGCAGAGGATATAAATTTCATTCAGTAAATTGCATTTAGTTAAAATAGAAGGATATGCTTTAATAACTTCAATGAATAGAGGAATTAATCCAAATATGTCATTTTGATTCATAATTACTTGGAACTTTCTTATCCTAATTTGATTGCTTATTAGCATGCACATAATAATTATACTACCATAACTAAGGACTGTCTACGCAATGATTGCTGAGTTTTAATGCAAGAAATCACTGTAGTTCATTTTGGCTCCCCTATAACAGTAAGCTCAAATAAATGCTCAAAATGAACTGAATACAGAGTAACTTTTTTTATATGGCATTCATAGGGAATGTTTAAGCACATGTTTTATGGGAATCCACAGCAGAAGACGTTTCAAGGATCATAAACACCAGTAAATTACTAGTAGCTTTAGTCAAGAGACTCTTTAAGTTTGTATTTAAAACTATTATAAATTAATGTCTTTAAGTTTTTCTTCGACATAACATCTCTTTTATTGTTTGTGATGTGAATATAGCACATCCTTAGAAAATAATAAGGGTGGATGTTTTGAGATGTGAAAATGTGAATAATTTCCTTATGCCTTAATTAGGAATTGGAACTTCAGATCCAGCTGCAGAATTAATTTGATGTAACTACTGTCACCTCCCACAAACGTACCTCACCCTTCCACACCTAGCTAGCTGATTCGACTCTGTCAAGATCTATAACTGTCGCTCTGACCCACAAATTGGTTCAGAACTCACGTGATACTATCTTGAAATTGATATTGAATCAAAAATTTTAAAATTTTGGAATAAAAGGTATTTGTAGAACCTGTATTTTATGGTTTATATATACACCATAAAAATATTTAATCCTTTTGCTTGAATATACGTGTTGCAGTCATTTACAAAACTTAAATATACATCTCATGTCAGTCCTTCCTTCTCTTCTCCAAAGCGGACGGTCAGGTCTGGGCCAGGCTAATAGGGTGTGTTGCCTCCCTCACTTTGTAGGTTAGGGAATGAGAAGCCGAGCAGGAGAAGAGGAAGACAGATGGACCAGAAGCGTATATAAAATTATTTATATGTTTGTTTTTTGTTCATTTGTTTTTGTCAAATAGAATCAGCCCTCTTATAGAACTACAGGAGAACTGTTTAAAATTTTAAAATTGTCATTGCTCTCTCAGCTGTGCTAGGTCCCTGTGTTCCATCTTGCTGCTGTGTAATAAAAAGTTTCCATCACAGAGCTGCACCTTTTGGACAGACCAGCTAGTCTGGGGTTCGCTCCTGCATCGGGGTTGTCTGGTTTACTTGGGAAGGAGCTAAAAATTCCTGTGGCCCACCTCTCACCTACGGAATCAGAACAGGGCCCAGGAATCACCATGTTAACAAAATTCTCCAATTCCCACAGACATTACAGTTGGAGAACCATGGCCTCAGGTTATGGGATCAACCTGAAAGAAGAGCCTCTAGCACTTGAATGGAGAAAGAAGGTCACATATTTTCTTGCCTAACAACATCAGAACACAGATCCAGAGGAGGGGACGTGGGGAAAGGACTGAGTTGTTTTGGAAAAAGACATGGAGAGGGAACAAAACAGAACAGTAGGAGATGAGTGTCTCGTGTATGACATGAAACAGATGTTTGCAGATAACATGCATCATGGTTCCTCTCAAATGTGTGATCAAAACCAGATTAACTTCTGATATTCTCTATTTTCTACAGAAATAAAAAAGGCAATTGCTTTATTTTTCTATGATATTAAAAGTTCAATATTAGATGCCTTAAGGAGAAAAAAAAACTCTAAAAAGCTAAAAATAATTTTTCAAAAAACTTTACACTTAAGAAACAAAGAAACAATGATCATTATTAGACTACACTGATTCCTGTGAGGTTTTTTTTTTTTTTTTTTTTTTTTTTTTTTTTTTTAAAGATTGAACTAAGCACTTGAAGCCATCGCCACAGGCAATACTTTTACTCCTTTGAAATCATTACAGCTAAACATCTGAGATATATATATTTCAAATGTCTGGTAAAGAGTATTCTTTTTAGATTTTCTTAAGCCATGGAAAGTAAGAAATAGCATTTATCAGTACTATTCATTTTTATACAAACAGATATTAGGCATATAACTTCCATATTTTTATACTATGTAAGAACTTACTGAATTAAACGTTACACGTATATAAACGTTTAAGTATATATACTTAAACAGGCACATTTTAATTTTAATGATTTTTATCACAATTACACTTTTTAATAAACTCTCTTAAACCGGGCATCTGATCAACAGCTTCAATTTTCATTTTATATTACAGGACTTGCATAGAAGTTTTTAATATATATTCAGTTCACACTATCAAAATGTAATCATTTTATTAGCTAGGTTATTTTATCTCATTTTGAAATTTTTTATCTGTGCTTTTTAAATGAATGCTTAGTATATCTGTTGATTCTCCAAAATATAACAAATGTATTTCACAATTCTAAAAATGACATATGTCTTTATATTTACCTCATTTTCATTAATAAAACTCCTGGTATTATTTTAAATTCCCTAAGCAGAACCTGAGTAGCACAAGTAAATATTTTATAATATAATATTAAATAGAACAATTTTCATTTTAAATATTTAAACTAAATTAGCATTACTCAAAACCAGCAATAACAACAAAAAAATACATGCAGCAAAGCAAGGAAAGCATACTACTACCTTTTAAAAAAAACTATTGATATTACTTTACCATATAAGGGTTTCCTAATGAAAAGAGGCAAACAACTTGTACCCAATTATTACAGAAAAATTAAATGAAATTACAATTACAAAGTGTAACCAAAATAAACCAAACACATTTAATTGGGGATTGTGATTTTGTTCTTTCAAAGTAATATACTTTCCAAATGTTGAACCTATTATATAATGGGCATAAATTTCATATTTTTCAATAAGGTACAAATTTATTTGCCAATCTCCTCAAGGAGTTATCGTTTGGAAAATGCAAACAAATGTAGATGTCGAGTGACATAATGAATGATTTAAAGAGACAGCAACCTTGCATAAAAAAGGCAAATATAAACAGTTAGATAAGCTTTTTCTTTCGATGTTACATATATAAGTAGAATCTACATTAAATGTCACTTTGAACCTATGACTTTGAGGATTCCGTTCATCATATGAAATCACTGACAAAAATTGTCTCTTTAAATTTTTATCGTATTTTAATCCCCATGCAGAATTTTACAAGCTGGCTCATAAAATGATTAGAAAGTCAATAATGTGACTTGGAGCAACATACCAAAACATGTTTTCCTACTATGCATTTTCCAAAGACATACAGATCAGGGGTAAGACACAGCTTTAGTTTCTATCAGGCAGACAAGGCCTTTACCTGAACCCTAGGAACAAAAGGCGTTGTTCTTCTACTAAGGCTTTGGCTCTGGTAAGCAAAATTAAAGAAAAAAGCAATAAAACAAAACCAAAAGGACAACACGCTGGAACTCAAAGACCAAAGTAAAAACAAACACGTACGGCTACCCCTCAAATATCATTTCCCCATGGCAATCTACATCTATATTAAGTACATCAATGTAATGAGTCAATTAATTTTGCCAAAATATATAAAATCTTAGAATTTTAAAATCAGTTTTTTAAGTGCAATAAAAACAACAGGAATTAGGACATAATGTAAAATAACATATTCAGTGTCATAAACTCTGAAAGAATAATTATAAACGGAACCCAATAAGCAATAAGTTTCAGGTTTCACCCTCACACACATGACAAAAAATCACAGTCCACATGACATGAGATAAGAATGCATTTTAGAATTATTAGTGAAAAGACATTTTTATAAGGAATTGTGACTTGCTCAAAACGATATGTCTAACAAAACTCTATAAAACAGTAAAGTCGGCTTAGCATTGATTGTTAAAAGAATAAACACAGTCAGATAAAAGTATGCTGGAATGCACTGGATAAATTAGGTAATTCAAACTTTTAAGAATTTACACAATTTTCAGACATTTATTATGAACCACTTGAGATAATCATACCTATTAGTGAAAATTTGTATCTTATTTATTTTTATTTATTTAGTTCTCTATATTTTTCTAAGCATTTACTGGCAGTTTATTGCAAGTTTATTGCCTCCAATAACACTAGGTGGTTGTCAGTACTATCTCCAATTTGTAGATAAGGAAAGAGAAACAGAACATCAAGAAAAAGGTTAGATACTCAAACAAAAGGTAAGATACTGTAAAGGTAGAAGATAGAGCCTACCTCTGATTAAATCACTCTATTTCTTTGACTGAAATCAAATTTCAATTCTCTTTTGACTTATTTTGTTTTCATTTGAAACCAAAACACCACAACAATCAGAACTGTGAGCCTTTATTAAGGCAGGCCCACAGTTAAATCAGGAACAAAATCAGATGCATATCTCTGGGTTTGGAAATAGATTTCAAGGCATTTAATTTTGCTTTTCACCAAAATTCTATTCCATTCCTTACATCTCTCATGGAGGTTTCTCTTATCTAATTCCTCTTCTAGATGGGAGGACGTAATAGGGACTAGGCGGACTGTCCAATGTACCTATCATTAGACTTACACTTTGTAAGACATAAATCTAAGACCTACAAGGAAAGAAGACCTTGAAAGTAGACTACCATTCAATCATGAGTCATCCTCATTCTCTCTCTCCAAGAACTAAGGAGTCCCAAATCTGTCTTCCTTTTGGTGTGGAAACACATCCAACGGAAGAAAGAAATGTTTAGATATGGAGTGTGTTACTGACCCTTGTCTGCACAACTCTAGATGGATAATTCTCCAGCAAATGGGGAAGGGATGTATGAAATGCATATAGATTAACTAGGTACACTGAAGCAAAGAATGAATGCCCGGCCTGGTTTGGCTCAGTGGATAGAGTGTTGGCCAGAGGACTGAACGGTCCCAGGTTCAATTCTGGTCAAGGGCACATACCTCGGCTGCATGCTTGGTTCCTGCAGAGGCAACCAATCGATGTGTCTCTCTCACATTGATGTTTCCCTCTCTCTGTCTCTCCTTCTTCCTTCCACTCTCTCTAAACATCAATGTAAAAATATCCTCAGATGAGGATTTAGGAAAAGAAAAAAGAAAAGTTCTAACAAAATACTTTATTTAGTAGATTTTATTTTTCTTGCCCTCTCACCTGCTCTATCTGTTTTACACCAAAAATATCAAAATGGTGGAAGTAAATATTACTTCCTAAACTAAAAAATTACTTTAAATGAAACAGTACTTTAAAGTAAACTAATCTTTAAGGCAAACATTGTCACCCTTCTAAAATGATCTCAAAAGGGCAACACGTGGAATGCTGAAATCAACTGTCTAAATTCTATGGCAATTTAAATAATCTTCACCGGTAAGTTCACACTTTAGACTTGGCTATGAAAACACATTTCGATTTATTAGTGTTCTTAAGTGAGTTGAAATTCAAATTCGACAAATCATTTTAAAGTGTGTGATCCAAAGGCACTTAGTGCAAGCCCAGTGCTCTGCAACCATCCCCTCTCTCTACTTTCAAAGCTTTTTCATGGGGCCCATAGGGTATCATTCACCTGTTACGTAACCACTCCCTGTGCCCCCATCGTCCTAATTCCTGGCAACCACTAAGCAAGAATGCCCAAAGATAAAATGCAAGGATACAGAAATTGTGATGCTGCCCTATGAGTTTCTAGGGGTGTTACCAAAGGATGATACACGTGGACACACATTTTCCAACCTCTACATCATTTCAGCATACCAACACTGCCTCCAGTTGGCAGAAACAGGATTAAAGAGAAAGGGAAAGAGTATCCAAAGGGCACATTGCTCATGTTTTCCTGCCTGCAGAGAATAAGTAGAAAGTTAACTTTCATGAGGATAAAATGCATGTTTATCTTGTTCACGGTTGTATTCCCAGCTGCTACCGGTAGTATTATGGCTGAACTGGAATCAGACCTTATATATATTTTTTAAGTAGATAATTGGAGGTAATTTGGCCAAAATATTTTTGGGGGAAATTTGGGCAATAGATCTCAAGAACCGTAAAATTTTCTTTTCCTTTCATATTTCAATTTTAATTCTGGAAAGTTATCCCAACAAATATTTTGTCCTAACAAAAATATGCAAGATTTATATTAAAGAATTTCCATGGCCTCGTTATTTATAACATAAATGAGAAACAAAATATCCCATTATAACAAATTAAGTTAAAAATGGAGTAATAAATAGGTATTAAAATCATATTAAGCGGATTTTTTTAAAGTTTAAGGAAAAAACTATACAATATTAGTAAAAAGCAAAAGGTTTCTAAATAGTATACATGAATTTGTTAATTTTGTTTAAAAAATTATATGTATATGAATAGTCATCTTTTAGTGGCAGGATTATAAGTGGTTTTTAAATATATATATATATATATATATATATATATATATATATATATATATATATATTTTTTTTTTTTTTTTTTTATTGATTTTGTACCGAGAGGAAGGGAGAGAGATAGAGAGTTAGAAACATCGATGAGAGAGTCATCGATCAGCTGCCTCTTGCACACCCCCTACTGGGGATATGCCCGCAACTAAGGTACATGCCCTTGACCGGAATCGAACCCGGGTCCCTTCAGTCCCCAAGCCGACGCTCTATCTATCCATTGAGCCAAACTGGTCTCGGCTATAAGTGATTTCTATTATTTATTTATTTATCTACACTTTCTAGAATTACAACAACAAATATTATATTTGTAAAGATGATCATCTTATTGGAACATACACATTCTAACTCCTAAGAAAATGATAAGATGGTACATATTTAAAACTGGAAGTCCTGATGCAGGAAGATTCCGGCAGGAATGGGCCTTCCTGCCCCTGGCTGCCGGCACCGCCTTTGCTCTGGCAGGAGCTGTCTTTTAGCCTTCCCACGCTGCACAGAGGCTTGGCGTGGTTAGGGTGGTGGGTTGATTTGCATACTCACTCCTGATTGGCTGGTGGGCATCATGAAGGTATGGCCAATTATCACGTTACTCTTTTATAAGTGTAGATTATAACTACATGGACTTTAAACTGGCATCATTTATAAATTTAAATACTACAACTTTATAACATTATAAATATATGTAAAACATATTTTTGTTTATATTTCCCCTAAATATTTAACAGTGTTACCTTTTTACTGTATTCATTTTGAACCATGAGGAAAAATCGAAGAATATGAAATTTGTCTAAATCTTTCCTAGTCCAATTTGTAATAGGGCCTTGGGATTTTTAAATGAGGTAACAAAGTGGTACTTATGGAAATATAATTTCCACTCCTCCCTCCTTCACCAACTGAAGCCAATTACACACACACACACACACACACACACACACACACACACACAGATTTATTTGTATACTGGCATTATCCAGCTACCTGGAACATTACTTAAAGATGAACTATTTAAATACAGCCATAAAAAAAAGAAAAACAGCTTTTATTACCACTTCCTAAATGGTGGGGGGGGAAATATATATATATATCCATAATGGTGGGGGGGGGAAATATATATATATCCATAAATAACAACATTCGTGCTGTCAATATATGTAAGAGAATAAGGAGAAAGATTCTACTTATTGTGGAAAAATAAAAAAGACCATTGTCCTCAAATGAAAAATTCAGTCTTTTTATGAAAGAGAAGGAAAAGAATAGAGAAGAAATTTACTTTAGTAAGACATTTACAATCTCCTAACAGTAGCTCAGTTTTTTCCTTGCATAACTATTTTTAATTGTCATCTTTTATATCAAAATACCCCCAGAACAGACATGTCTAATGACTTGTTCAATAAACTTTAAAATACTAAGTGTGCTTGTACTTTCCATTATCTGCTTTAAATTAATGAAAATTTAGTAAAAATCAAACATCTCCCTTTCTCCTAAAAATATAAAAGAAGTTTTATAGCTTATTTAGTAAAGATTTTTCCTTTTGCTCTTAAAATATTAGTCCAAGAATAGTTTAATTTTTACAGAAAACTCAGTGTCTGGATTTTGAGTAACTAAATAGTTCTTAATATCTATAAATTTTCAAGTTTAATAACTGAGGGACATTATTGTCAATACTAATTTTATTTTTCCTAAAATATGGATGGATAAACTTTAATATTTTAACATTTTAAAATGGTTTAAAAAGGGAAATAAAACTAAAGAATTTAACAAAAAAATAAGGGCTTACATTTGCAAAGCTCTTCTAATATAGACATAAAACATAATTGAACTTTTAACTTTCATTATAAAATGTTTGAATTAGGGGTCATTTAATATAAAATCATCTGGCGTACTCAGTAGTCAATTATATATTTACTCATGTACTTAATTTTGTCTGTCGACAAAAGCATCTCAAGTATCATTATATTTCAGAGCAATATTCTTACCCCACTCAAAATTTCCTTAAGGTTGAAAAGCAGGGAAAAGTACAGAAATATTTACTTTTATCTTAAACATACCATCTTTGTATAGTGCAGAATTTTTATTTCCCTCAAAAGTTCATGACTCTTTATAATCATTTTAGGATCTGGAGCAAAAATTATAACCTTGAGTTTTGGAATAATATTACTAAAGTAAAACACACTGTAGATACCTCCACAAATTCTTAAGCTCATTACATTACAGGAAACCTAACTAATAAATAAAGCGCTATGGTAAATAATTAAAAAATGGAATTTCAGTTAATTACTAAGAATGAGAAAGTTGACGGTTAAAGGCACAATTATAGTCTAAGAAGAACTTTGTTTTACCAAAAACTAGCAACATATAATCAAAACACTACTTGATCTGCCAAAAATAGAAATTAACTTAGTGATTACATACTGAAAGTTGTCCAGATAAAAACTGCGGAACATCTCGCAACATGCCAGGACTCATGGGAGAGGTAACGGAGATAGAAGGACGATCCATTTTTTGAGATTCAAATGAGCTAGAGCCTGTAAGGGCAATCACACATAAAGAATAACAACAATGGCTCTTCGTTGGCATTTAACCATCTTCACCACCTAGCTCTTAAATTTCATTTTTAACGTCCACAGAATGTCATTCCACTTTCCTAGCCACAATGTTCCAGAGTGATCAGAGGCTTTTCTTGGAGAATATGTGAAGTTTAGCATTCTGGAGGGATATGCATGAATGATTTGAATGGAGGGGAAGGGACAGATTGGAGAGGGAGTAGAAATGAGGCTAATAGGATACTCCATTTTCTCCCGATGAATGACATTAACAACATTCTCTTCTAGAACACATGAAACTTACTGGACTCCAGTTGTGCATGTGTGCTATCAGGTATTCTAGGGATATCTCTGAAATGATAGAAAAGGAAAACAAGAACTTGTTGCAACAATTAATGCAACTACTACTGTTTTCATCATTATCAACCTATATTCTTAGTTAAGACCAATTAATTTTTTAAGATATTAAAATTCATACTCATTTATAGCAGCTGTATAAAAACATATACTTTATTGTCTATATGCCTCACCAAACAATCGTCCATTCTAAAAGATTTTTGCAATCAACAAGCTTTATAGATACATTGTAAGTCTATTCCATTCTTTATTTTCATTTGCTGTTGTTCTAAATCGATAATATTATAATGCAAATAAAGTATCACCAAAACAAAAATTTAATTAGTCAGATTTTAATTGCACCTTTTTAAATGTAATAACTCCATTTAGAAAAATGTAAACGTGTTCCTTATTGGGACTTACAGAATGGCTACTTAACTGCATTTTCACACACAAAAAAATGTACATTTTCTTTTGAGATTTTCCCAAAGGGGTAGATATTAATGGTTAAGATCATTCAGAAAATTACATAAAAGAATATTTAAGATATTAAACAAAAATGTTGAGTATCTTTTAATATGAAAAAATACATTTGATTAATATATTAGGTTGATACAGCACAGTTTTAACATAATAAAAAACTTTGAAAAGTCAAAGTGAAAAACAGATAAATTTCATGTGCCAGATTCATTACTTTTGAAAGGAACATTTCAAAAACTAAATTACTGATATAAGTCATTTTATACAGGATAAAAGATAACAAAATAATATATTATAGTCCAATCTTTTCCTAAATGAATGAAAACTAGGCATTATATTCTATAGCACAAAATAATTTATATAGCCTCTACTCTAAAAGGTTTTTACCATGAAAATGAATTTAATAATTCCTTGTTATTCAGTTTATAATATGTAATTGCTTTTTCTAATTATAGTGTATCTTTTTCATTGGCTTAGAAGATAAGCTTCTATAAAAGGAAGACTACTGTGATAATGAGTAATTCTCATAACCTAGATGCAAAGGACTATATTTATTGCCAACTTCTGGAAATTGTCGACTTAATCTATAGATAACAAACTATAAAAACAAATGAGTATCTGGCATTTGCTTATTTTTTTACCTTTCTTTGTTGAAGTCTCCATTTTGGAAAAAAAATAAAAATTATAGAATATAGCTGATCCTCATTTTCACTATATGAAGGACCACAGTTCATGGAACTTCCTTTAAAGGAATTGGTACTACTGTCCCTTCTACTGATGCCTTCAACCATCTACTAAGTTACTAAAATAATAAAAACAATAACAAGATAAACATTTCTTCTTTTGTAATTAACATTACAGATAGAGGTATCATGATTTTTGGTGAGGTGTTTTCAGTAAGAGAAATGTCCTCAAAAGAATGTATTCTGATAAAGCAATCAGACGTTTTTGGATTGCCCTTCAGAACTTGTTCACCGGAGTCAACTCTTCCCATATGCAAAGTCTCAGCCCAACTCACCCAATTGGCCTGGAAACGACAAGTTCCACCTGTGGCTCCGGTTTGGAGTCCAAGATGATGTTGTAGACTTCTTCAAAAGTGGCTCCTTGCAACAGCCTTCCATTCCATTCTAATACTTCATCACCTGCCGTGTGGATCAGTAATGTACATCTTAGAGAGAAAATCTAAGCCTATACATACTCAAAACAAAGCAATCTTACCCTACAATCACCTCCACAGAGTAAAACCGCCATTATGAAATAGGAAACCTACTGAGAACACCTCCAAGGGCATAGTATTTGATGACAGGGATGACTGGTATATAATATTTCACCCCAAAGGCCAAGGGTCAGGAAGAAAAATTGCATAACAATGATCTCTGAGATCTCCAGGATCTCCTCAGTGATGTCTTGTGCATGAATACTTGTTAGATCTTCTTGGGAAGAGGAGCAGAGGCAGGAGTGAACTATGTCACCATCTTGGTGACACAGAAATGTTAATTCCAATAGAAATTCTAATCTTACGCCGAAACTGGTTTGGCTCAGCGGTAGAGAGTCGGTCTGCAGACTGAAAGGTCCCGGGTTCGATTCCGGTCAAGGGCATGTACCTTGGTTGCGGGCACATCCCCGGTAGGGGGTGTGCAAGAGGCAGCTGGTCGATGTTTCTCTCTCATCGACGTTTCTAGCTCTCTATCTCTCTCCCTTCAATAAAATATATTAAAAAAGAAATTCTAATCCTAGAAACTTATCAAGACCAGTCGCCACTTTATAGGTCTCATGAGTCTGCATTTTAAGTTGGCTGAGCACTTTGTCTGAATTCTCTTCTAAAAAGCTTAGCATTTAGTGTCTTACTGAATCCTCTCCAAGGTAGTCAAGGACCTCTCCTATCCGTTAAGAGACAAGGAGTAACACACTTTAGGAAATATACATTTATCTATGAAGCTTTTTCCTAAACTATATTGGAATTTTTTTTTTAAGTTACAGCTTATGGGAAACAAAATAGGTGAATATTGGATACAGAATAGGAATATCCATAAGCAAAACACAAACGAACAAATAAAGCCTTTTATCTAATGTGGTTCAAGAAATAATATTACTTCCCTATAATGAATAAATTTATTTAAGTTAAATGAGCACTTTATTACTAATCAAATCGCTTCTATTTGAGGATTACTTTTCATAACCACTCAGTTTTAACAGTTTGAATGTGAACACTCAAAGATGAAAACCTACCTGGCCTAAGATGCCCTACAGTATCAGCTAAGCTTCCTTTTTTCACTTTGGTAATAAATGCACAGAGCCGACCCGATTCAGTCATCTTTCCTCCTACAACCTGTTTCATAAAGAAAAGAAGTAAGAGATACTTTCTCCCAATGAACATGACTGAATAGTCAAGTAAAAAATAGACATTTTGAAACTTTAAAAAAAATGTATGTTTTTATTGATTTGAGAGAGACAGAGACAGAGAGAGAGAGAGAGAGAGAGAGAGAGAAAGAGAGAGAGAGAGAGAGAGAAAAGAGAGAGAGAGATTATAGCCCAGTATGTGTGGCTCAGTGGTTGAGCTTTGACCTATGAACCAGGAGGTCATGGTTCAATCCCCACACAGGGCACATACCTGGGTTGCAGGCTCAATCCCCAGTAGCGGGTGTGCAGGAGGCAGCTGATCAAGGATTCTCTCTCATCATTGATGTTTCTATCTCTCCCTGAATAGATAGATAGATAGATAGATAGATAGATAGATAGATAGAAAGAATATAAACACAGATATAGATATAAAGGACAAACTGTACAGGTAAAATAAGTTTTTGCACTGTATGTAGAATTCAAGTATATAACTCATTGTAATTTCTAAAATTATACATACGAGTATTATTGTAGAATAATGGAAACTTCTTAAATAAAACTTGAAAAATAAGAAATGGATATTGAGGACAAATATTTATGAATTCTTAAAAATAGAAAGACAAGCCACTAATTTGGTATAGGTAGAAAGAATTTGCTTCTCTGATAAACCTGTAAAGTAACACAGAGTCAAAACCTTACATATTTCATCACCTACCTTCAAGCCAAGCATTGCTCCTGAATCTCGAGGCACACTGCCATCTTTCAGGCGCTTATTTAATAAAATACGACCAATTAAGCGATCTCCATCTTTGGATGGCTGCCATGTCACAGGGTGCTGACATTGCATCAAAAGACAAAGAAAATTAATGCTCTTTTATGACAAGCGACCCCTTATTGTACAATCTCTCTAAATTCCAGACTGCCTTCATACTATGATTACACAAACCAGTTTGCATTCAAAACATTTGATCAAAAACATTGATCAAAAAAGACTTACATTATGCCAATAATCTGAATTTTATTATAGCAAGTTTTTTCAAAGTCAAATTCTTACAGTCTTTTGACACAATACCGAAGTTATATAATTTTACAAAATCAAAGAAATCTTGAAAATATGTTCAAGCCCTAACTTAATAACATACTTGCTGAAGATTAATAAAATCATAGGCAGGAAAGATAGAATAATATTCTGTAAAAGTAAACTCATTTAAAAATGAAATTTTAATCCTCCAACACTTTTGGAAAACTTTGAGAGACCTTATTGCAATGAAAGTTAAAAGGTCAAATGATATAAAACACAAAAGCCAAACCTCTGAGGAGGGGCTTTCGTGAAATAAGTTTCTAGATTAAATTTACAAGAAACACACATGCCCCAAATAACTTTCCAATTGATTCCAGGAGAATTAGGCCTCATTCAAAGGTGGGCACAGATTACATTTCTCATTTTTCAGAGGTGCGTTGATTCCTTCAGGCCTTTGAATTACCTAGTAAATTGATTTTATTGGCTAATTCCATGGTATCCATTGTCAAATATAACCTTTAAAATATTAGGAATTTATCTCTTTCTCAGGGCAGAACTAATCCTTTTAGAGATCACGACACCACTCCATTCTATTATGAATTATGTGTTGTCAAATAACAAAGTCAATGATTTGTGTAATCATGTTTCACAGTTATCTTAAAGTAACATGCACATCCTCATGCAAAATTTAGTAGGCAAGAGACAAGTTCTAGCCAGTTCACATTTACATGGTAATAAGATTTTAAAAAGTCTTGCTACACTAAAAGCAAAAATAATAAATACCAAAGCAGACAGCAATGGGTCTGATACTAATTCATGCCACATTGAAATGCTATGACAAGAAAACAAAAGAGCAAAATGACAGTGAAAGGGAAAAAAGAAAAACAACTTTTTCCGTGCAAATAGGCCCAATTAGCTCCCTTTTGCCTGGGATTCAGACTATTAACAATTTTTCATCCCAAGGAAAATGTACGCCAGCAATCAAATAAGCCAATCCAAGAAATTCTTTGTATTTGTCGTTGATGGTGACATTACAAAAGTCTCTTGTGCAACCATAGACAAAACATTCCTTTGTTCCTAATTTTTATTCCATTTACTTATTTTTTTATTTTTATTTCTTTTTTTATTTATTTCTTTTTTTTTGGTATGCCGTCCAACAACAAAAACAGCAAAGCAAGCAAGAAATAGTTCGATTTGTTTGTTTTGGTTTTGTTTTTCTTTTCTGCACCTTGAGGAATGCTGCATCGACCCCTGAGACGCCCTGTTCTTGTGTCATGTTCCGTTTGAATGAGTGACAGAGAGCAAACGAAGACCAAATGAGCAGGTTACAAGGCAGGCTCCACGATCTCAGTACCTTCTCGCTATGGCTATGCTCCTCGTTAAGGGTTGTGTTACTACAGGTGTCTACCCCAGAGTCCTTAATCTGGGGCTCGGACCATTCCAAATCCTCTTCCAAAGAGTGGCCACCAAAGCACAGCATTTTCTTTTGTCTCTCAGACCTGGTGTTAGAGTCCGACAGAACTGCCTGCTCACTAGTTTTTCTTTTTCCCTTTTGACTGTCCCCTATAGGCATGGGATTAAAAAAAAAAAAAAAAGATACAAAAAAAAAGAAAACATGCAGAAGTGTAAATTAAAAAAAGGAAACGTGAAATGAGAACAGAGATCCAATAACAAGGCCCCACATGTCTCACCAAAGACATTGGGGAGGCCTCACTGCTATGCCAAGACGTATGGTCCAGCCAGTTGTAATCCATGTCTCCTGGGAGAGCCGGACAGACAAGGGGGCGCAGTGAGGGAGACGGAGGAGAGGACAGACAAAGGCGTTATCAACATTTTACACCGTGTGGAACTCTGCTGCCAAGAGCTCTGTCTCTCATACTCACTGCACACATCAAGAGAGAGCTAGGATCCCAAGGGAGTCAAACTTACAGCATGTAGGGTCATCAAGTTTGTGATCTCTAGACAGACCCTAGAGAGCAAAAGTCCTAAAGGAAGAGAAAAGGCTAATAATAAAGAAATGGAAAAAAAAAATACATATTCTGAAAAAAGAAAAAGACTATCGGTTATGACTGTTACGCGTGCTATCTTTTTCGTGCTGGTTTACAGACATGAACTATCCTCCAAAGCATAAAGAACATTCTAGAAATTAAATAGTGGTTTGCCCATAACCACGATAACAGAAAGCCAAGCAGTTAAATGTTGTTTCTGGAGTATAATACAATGTTATTTTTAATGCCGAAACCTCCTAAAAATATTTGGTGGATAAAAAGAAAAAAAGAATTGCTTACAAAAAGAATAGTTGTGTATGAAAGTGACAAAAGAGATACCCTCAATTTCTATTAGTAAAAATAAAAGAAACTTTACTTTTATTATGAAATGCTTATTATTGTGAAATAATTTTTCAACTTTTTCAGAAATGACATTCTCATAAAAAGAAAATTTAAAAAAAATTTTTGTCAGAAAATTTGTGTAACTGATAACTAAGAATGGGTATCTACTTCCCATGCTTATATTTTGCCTTACATTTGAAAAAGGATTTATGTTTAGACTATATGTGCACATAGATCTTTGTAAACTTTATTCATACTTTCAACTTGAATAAAGTTTACAAAGATCTATGTGCACATATAGCCTAAACATAAATCCTTTAGTAAATATTAGTAAATATTAATCCCCTTCCATTTGCTCTGCATTGTGCCAAGTTCTAGGGTATGAGGTTAAAAGATGAGATACACAACAGAGTCGGGATAAACACAATAAATAAGTCCCCAGAGTCACACAGGAAATTACAGAACCCTGAGAGAGCAGAGTAAGATCCAATTTAAATGTAGGGATCCGTGAACACCTCTAGAGAAGTGATGTTTCAAGATAAGATATACGTGACCTACAGGACAGGCAAGGAGACAGGCAGACGCAAAGTGGAGGAAAGACATTCCAGGGACAGCCTGGTCCAATAAAACCACTGCAGGGACACCAATGTGTCTGACCCCAAAGGAATGAGGGCAGCACAGACCAGCTTAGCGAGGCCTTTTTATGCCACGTGACAGAACTGTGCATTTCATTCCTTGAAGGACTTTAAGTAAAATGGTGATATAAATTGATTTATGTTTTTAGAAGATGAATCTAAGCACTAAATAGAGATTGAATTGGATGACGCCAAGAGTTAAAAGGCATTTGCAGCAGAAACCGGTTTGGCTCAGTGGATAGAGCATTGGCCTGTGGACTGAAAGGTCCCAGGTTTGATTCCAGTCAAGGGCATGTACCTTGGTGGCGGGCACGACTCCAGTAGGGGGTGTGCAGGAGGCAGCTGATTGATGTTTCTCTCTCATCGATGTTTCTAACTCTGTGAAACACTCTCTCTTCCTCTCTGTGAAAAATTAATAAAATATATATATTTTTAAAAAGGCATTTATAATAATCCATAGGACAAGTGATTAGGGCTTTAAAGGTGCTGGCAATAGATGTGATAAGAAAAGAGAAAACTGAGAGGTGCTTTGGAGGTAGAATTAAGGTTTAGGAATGAATGACTGGAGAGTCAAGAATAGCACCCAAGTTTCTGGCATTAACAAATGAATGTAAGGAAAGACCATTTAAGAGCAGGAGGAGACTGGAGGAAGAACACTGTATGAGGGAAGAAGTAGGAAGGAATTACTCTGCTTCACAAAATCTAAGATGTTACTGTATATAAGATTCATAGATTTTTGAACTAAAAACATACATCTTAGGATTTATTAAACATAGTGTTAAATTGTGGATATACTGTTTGCAATACCCATAAGCTATTCAAATGGGCATATAAGAAATCAATTGGTTAAGCCCGTGGTCAGTAAACTGCAGCTCGTGAGCCACATGAGGCTCTTTGGCCCCTTGACTGTGACCTGGGCAAGTCTATTTTGAACAAGTGGCATTAGAAGAAGTTTAAGTTTTAAAAAATTGGCTCTCAAAAGAAATTTCAATTGTTGTACTGTTGATATTTGGCTCTGTTGACTAATGAGTTTGCCGACCACTGGGTTAAGCTACAATACGGCTTAGAACAGTGGCTGGCAAACCCATTAGACAACAGAGCCAAATATCAACAGTACAACTATTGAAATTTCTTTTGAGAGCCAATTTTTTAAAACTTAAACTTCTTCTAACGACACTTGTTCAAAATAGACTTGCCCAGGCTGAGGTATTTTGTGGAAGAGCCACACTCAAGGGGCCAAAGAGCCGCATGTGGCTTGGGAGCTGCAGTTTGCCAACCACGGGCCTAGAGTATTTGTGTCTCAGAAAAATCTATAGCCCTTTGAAAATAAAACTGTATTGTTCCACAACAAAGTACTAATAAATCTCTGAACTGAACTAAATAAAGAATGGAAACTGCAAATGAAATTTCTTGGCTGGTTTATGTAATGGTGTAAAAATTCAGCTCAAGCCGGGACCGGTTTGGCTCAGTGGATAGAGCGTCGGCCTGCGGACTGAAAAGTCCCGGGTTCAATTCTGGTCTAGGGCATGTACCTTGGTTGCGGGCACATCTCCAGTTGCTGGTCAATATTTCTCTCTAATCGACGTTTCTAACTCTCTGTCCCTCTCAATTCCTCTCTGTGTAAAATCAATAAAATATATTTTAAAAAAATTCAGCTCAAAATCTCTCTTCTGCCCCTATATCTGCAACCTACCAAAAAAGGAAATGTAGCTCTTTCCTAAGTCAATAAGGGAAACTAGCTATGTAACCACTTGAAGCTAAAATGAAAATATCTAACAAAACAAAACAAAAAAACCTATCATATATGGTAGACAATAGATAAATATTTGTTGAGTAAAAATTACTATTACTGTAAGAATTAAATAAGGCTAATGTAAAACATACAGAAAATAGTCCTAACCTACTAGCATTACTTTTGTAATACTTATTACTTAATATTCTTACTTTGTGTAGTTTCAAAGGGCAGGAATAAAATAAAATATCCTTCCTTCAGTAGCACTACAAAAATGTATTGCTGGGCTTTCCAGTTCTAGAAGAAGAAATAGGAGAGACACACACAATACGCTTCTTTATAGAGATTATATAACATACAGCTTCCACAAACCGAATTGGAAGACTAACCTTTCTCCCAAGACAAGTGTCCCAAAAACTGTGTTTGGGGATATAATCTTCCTGAAGGGACATTTTTCCTTTTATGATAGCCATTAAAACTGATTATAAGACTTTCTCCCCCTCCCCCCACCCCCAAGAAAACAGAATAATCAGTATTAAAGAAGACTCAAATCCCGAGCTTAAAAAAAAAATTATATATAAGGAATATTATCTAAGGCAATGCTTTCAAACTATGTTCCATGGACTTGCTTCAGAGACACCATTGGGGTGTGTGGAGAACTGATTCTAAGGTGGGGGCCCCAAAATCCCCATCTCTTGGTGTTCAGGCCTTTGTGCACAACCTGTGATTTACTTCTAATTAAGGTGGTGGGATGTCACTTCATCCTATTGTTAACAAAACGCTGCCTCGATAGTCTCAAGAACCTTCTAGAAAAGGCCAATAAATTTACCAAGACCCTCAAGGATATGAAAAAGTACCAACTAGGAATTAAGCATACACTGACTGAAATAAAAGTATCATATTCAGAGATACAACAGCAGACTACAGGATCGCAAGAATCAAGTCAAAGACTTGCAATACAAAGAAGCAAAAAACACCCAACCAAAGAAAAAAAGAAAAAAGCAATCCAAAAATATGAAGATAGAGTAAGGAGCCTCTGGGACAACGTTAAACGTACCAAAATTAGAATTATGGGGGTGCTAGAAGAAAAGAGAGAGCAGGATACTGAAAACCTATTTAAAGAAATAATGACAGAAAATTCCCCCACCTGGTGAAAGAAATAGACTTACAGGAAGGACAGAGAACCCCAAACAAAAGGAATCTAAAGAGGACCACACCAAGACACATCATAATTAAAATACCAAGAGCAAAAGACAAAGAGAGAATATAAAAAGCAGCAAGAGAAAAACAGTTAGTTACCTACAAGGGAGCACCCATACAACTGTCAGCTGATTTCTCAACAGAAACTATGCAGACCAGATGGGAGGGGCAAGAAATATTCAAAGTGATGAATAGCAAGAACCTACAACCAAGATTACTCTACCCAGCAAAGCTATCATTCAGAATTGAAGGTCAGATAAAGAGATTCACAGATAAGAAAAAGCTAAAGGAGTTCATCAACACCAAACCAGTATTATATGAAATGCTGAAAGGTATTCTTTAAGAAGAGGAAGAAGAAGAAAAAGGTAAAGATAAAAATTATGAACAATAAATACATATCTATCAACAAGTTAACCTAAAATTCAAATGAATAAAAAATCTGATGAACAGAATAAACTGGTGAATATAATAGAATCAGGGGCATAGAAAGGGAGTGGACTGATAATTCTCAGGGGGAAAGGGGTGTGGGTGGTGCAGGAAGAGACTGGACAAAAATCATACACCTATGGATTGAATTGAGGGGGGGGGTAATGGCAGAGGGTGGGAACCAGGTGGAGGAAAGCTATGGGGGGGGCGGGGAAGAGGAACAATTGTAATAATTGAACAATAAAGGTTTATTTAAAAAAAAAAAAAAAGACTTGAATTTGGGTCTTAAAACACCATGGACCTTAAAAAAAATGAACAAAGAAAAATGAACAAAGGATTAATATTTAAATTGTAAATGTCATGTAAGGATTAGCAGAAGAGAAAGGAAAATTAGAATTAATCAATAATGCAAGAGCCATTAAACAGAAATAGTAAT